TTTTAAAGTGAACATCACCAAAAGACACAACTAATTGTATTAGAAAAACGTGCCTTAAGTAGATTATCGTCATTGCAATGGTTTCAGCTTTATTACAGCTAATTCATTCCAAAGAGTACTTTTCCCAGAGAGGAATGGTAGTTTAAGAAGCACCATTTGCTGCTTGACTACAGTTGAATTACCAACAGTCACATAAAATGCATCCCATGTTATTAGTAGTAATAACAACAACAAGAATAACAACAGAAAAGTCAGCCACGTGGCAGATTTCAATAATCCTAAAACCCAGATTACTGAGCCAGGATGAAAGCAATTTCTTACTTAAAAAAATATAAACTTTGTTGTTAAAAAAAATTTTGCAAACAAAAATATCACATGTCACAATTAACGAGATCTGAAATCTATATAACTCAAGAACCTGCTACACAGGTAAATTATGGCTTTGGAACACAGGCTGTGGAGATTTACATTAAATTTTACACTTTTGGTATGAAATGTATTCTGTGAATTCACTCACCATCAGAAACAAAATATTCATGACAGAATTGGGAAGCAACCAGCTTTACCTCCTCCTTCATTACTCTTCCCCATTACCAGCATTCACCCCTGCATTCAGGATAGCATATATATGTATATATATATATGTGTGTGTGTGTGTGTGTGTGTGTGTATACATATATATCCAAGTATATTTTAAGGCAAATTTTTGACATTTGATATTTTAAATGTATAAAAGTGTTTGTCTAAAGAAATGCCAGAGTTATCAACCTTAGTATCACTTATTTTTGTTATAGATTACCACTCTGTAATCTTCAGAATAAGTAGGTAGAAAGATATATAGGCAAATCGACACAACTCTTCTTAAGATACAGGACCCATGAGAATCTTAATTTGGTCCCAAGTGCAAGGAAAACAATGTTACTTCCCGATCTCTGTCTTTAGAAACCAAATAGCACTTTGTTATAAAATAAACGCCTCTTAGTCTGACTTCTTCTTGACCAATATCTCTGTGCTTCTGTGAATTATTAAGAATCTCAGATTTTTCTCCAAAATATACTAGAGGCATTTTTTTAGAAAATCTCTTACATACTCTCAATCTATTTGTAAAAATCAGTGTCCAAAAGCAAATGAGAGTGTAATAGTCAAACCTAAATCCAAATAAAACAGAACACACAGTGCAGACTTAGAGCGTTTTCTGTTGTGAGTCAAATCTTCAAGTTAATTTATTAAGTTTCTGACATGAAAGATTCTGGTTCATAAGACTTGGGATGTAACCCCTGTTAGATTGTTTTCTAAACACAAACTTGGACAAGGTTAGCTTCTCTGAATCAATTTCCACTTATTAAAAACAATCGAAACAGAACTTTTCCTGATGCAATAAACTGCTCGAATTTAAAATTAATGTGACTTTGAGAAGGACAAAAGATTATACTCACATGAGGTGTATTGGTAATTTGAAGAGTAACTGTACTATTTCATCATTAACTGCTTCGCTTGTGTGTATCGTATATCCTCCAAGGAAATTTTATGTTGCTAGTGTATGCAAATTCTGCTAATCAGATAAGACCTCTACAAATAGTTGTGAGCAAATTGATTACTTCACTCTGTTTGAAAAAACATTTTAATTAATGGAAAAATAGAGGCATATGTAAATGGGGGAGTAACAGATCTCTCTGAGTGAAGACCAAGTATTATCTAGTTTATTTATGTCTATGCCAACTAACACTGCAACTTCCAAGATAAATTTGATTTTCCTTTAGCTCTTATTGTGAGAAAATAAAGAGCATTAAACTTTTAATGAATTTATGAAAACAGGAAGTAATTTTTAACTATCCAAATATAAGCTTTCAGCCTCCTAGAAGGAGATTCACCTTGTGAAATCAAAATAACAGAATGTTCTGAGGTCATTGGAAGACATTGGAAACATCACATCATAAAGCAGAAAACTAAGTGTGTGTTTCAATTATAAGAAGTTTTAATAAAGGCTTACATACAAATAAAAATATTTAACCCAATATTTCATCGAGAGTGCTTTTTTCAAGACACTGTTTGAGCAAAAGGTAGTTAACTTTTCCATCATCCTTTTAAACACACCTTGAAACAATAAATTGTACAGAGTGATCATAGAATTTTTTTCTAACACCAACTTGATAATCTTGAATTATTTTGTATCTAAACCCCAGTAATATATACTACCACTTTCAAAATCAGCCATACAATGGAGAGTCAATTTAATACAATTATTATTCTCTGCAAAGTTGCTGGTAAGCAAAGACACAGGCGAATCCCTGCACCCTGTCAAGACTACACAAAAAGTTTCCAGATAGATGATCAATCGCTTTCTTTTAAAGTATCCAGATTTGACTATTAGAAACACATTACAAAATGGAGTCTACAACACAAATGTCCAAGTATCCAATGGCAAACAGCTAATCTGAACTCTTCAAAGGACAGTTTAGGTTTACTCGGGTAAGTTTGGCATGCTTTCAGGAAGAAGTATGTATGGTCCATCCCATCCCAGAGACGTGCATATCTAGACCATAAGCTGGGATTCTTGAGGACAGAAGGGCACACATGGCTGTCCACACAGACTGTGAAGAACTATGCTGTGTGTATATAATCTTAATTCTGGACCCTTGAAGACAGAAGGGCACACATGGCTGTCCGCACATACTGTGAAGAGCTACGCTGTGTGTACCTAATCTCAATTCTTTCTGTGAAGCTGAAGCCCACTGATCACACTCCAGACTCCAAAATGTAACAATTGTCAATGTCTTTCACAAAAGCAGAAGCTTATATGAAACCACTGAAGGCCATGTCTCAATTTCCTCTCCTCTGGATTAAATAGTTCCAGTAATTCGTCCTTCCTCAGAGACAGAGTCTGGCTCTATAATTGAATCCACCAACAGTGAGTTTTCTAAGCCATGACCTACGATGATGTGCGTCTCTTCGAACCGTACCAACTTTGTCCATAAAACCACATCCAAATTCAGTAGAAAATAAATAAACCAAAGAGCCAGGGTGTCTGCTTCCCATTTATGAAACATGTTTTAACTTTTAATAGTTTACTGTAGACATTTGGAATTTTATTTTAGGAAGTCAAAATTTATATTTAATAATGCAGTATACAATGTGCTATACTTTTTTTTGCAATAACATACAAGCCGAGTACCTCCTTTCTTGACCTACTTTATATAGTTCTTATAATTAGGCACATGGTAGCAAGAGTTTACAAATACTCATAATGCATGAGCATATTAAATTGAATCACTATACGTCATTCTTATTTATAAACCAAGTAAAATAATTCTCAAGAAAATAAAACTAAAATCCCTATGACATAAAAAATTATAAATTAGAGGTAAGTGTGCCAAACAAAATGAAAGATTAAGGTAAAAAGAATTTATCATTTTGCATTATAAGATACAGTCTAAATGGCAGTTGGAGGATACAAGGCATGCATTTGATGCATGTAATATTACTAATACACTTTTACCTGAAAGGATTTTTCTGGCTTTAGTTCAATGAAATCCATTATCCTAGGTGGTAATGGAGCCTTGTATGTTCCAGTCTCAGGCATCGATGTCTCCTGAGCTGCCTCCAAGCCTCACAGTGAAAGGTCACGCAGATACCAGCAAGCATTTATAAGCTACAATTGCCCCCATTTCAGCTACGAGCCACAGCCTCCTGCCAAGCTTTGCTCGCTGTCGTTCGTTTCATTGTATGAGAAGGCTAATTCAGAAATGGCTAGCCTGGGGTCCTTGAGGACACTTAGGATTGTAAAGCCATCCTACTTCCCTACTTAATCACTTACAGGAGCCACACAAGGACGGAACATTAGAGAGAGCTAGAAAATGGTGGTGGACACTGAAGGAATGGGCAACAAATATCAACACAATTAAAGAAAGCAAATACCGCTCACTTGCCAGCCCAGCTGTGCTGCTTGAGGCTCGCCACACAGATTTGAAAAGGGTCGTTCAGAATTCCAAGAAAACCAGTGTGTTTCAACATTTATTCGAGAAGATGCAATATGCTAAGTAACACTCCAAGCCACCTCCCTTTCCCATCATTGTAAATTTGGGGCCCTCAACATAGGCTCACAAACCCAATTAAAAATAGCCAGACTATGAATTGGCATCTAGTTCTCTGATACAGAGCAAACGACAGGCATCTGTCCTAATTGGCCACAATGAACCTAAGGGCCAATAACAAGAATAAATGCCAAATTAATCCAAATGAAGTCAATGGATAATAAGACAAACCAGAAGCACGGATCCTAAAACATGCAATTACTTCCAAGAATACAAAGGCATAAATAAACCATAAAAATGATCATAAATCAAGCATGCTATGCATATAAATACACTCCATAAATGCAACACACCTGCAAAGTAACATGTGCACGTATGATGTCTATGTATGTAGATATGTATGTTCACCTATACATAAATATCCTGAAAAAGGTACTCTGGATCCCAGAAATGATTTTTCAACAAGAATGTGCTAAAGTGTGAATCAGAATGCCTAATTCTGGGACTTCCTAAGCACTGGAACAAAAACCAAAATCACCTTATAATTAGGCCAACAAGGTTGAGACACCAAATGTGTTTCTGAGGGAAGGCCCAACCCTGTTTGTGAAACCTGCAAACGAAACGGTAGCTTTCAACTACATCCTCTTCTTGCTAGCTCCTTTTCACCCCCTGAATTTGTTGCTAAGCTTGAGAGGAAAGGAATCTGGTGTTTCGGTTGGTATTCAGAGCCAGTTTGTGATAAAAATCAAAACATCATTTTTCCTCCAAAACACAAGAGGATGCCGCTCACTTCTCTCCCCAGCAACCTTGCTCTCTCTCTCTCTCCATCCTCATCACTGTTTCCACACCCCCAACCCCCCCTCCTAGTCTGAGACGCGAGTCATTGTTTAAGTCTAGGCCACAGATAACTACACAAGTCATTTAATAACCAGCTAGATGAAGAAGGTAGCCCCATTGCCTCCTACTCACCATGCTGAGACCAGGAGAAGATGCTGGAAGGAGGGAGAGCTGCAAGCTGAATCCATTTTCCTTGTGACCGAGTCGGATGCAGCCTCTGAAGCCAACATCAGCAGCGGCTGCTGGGATTCTTTTTTTTTTTTTATTCCCCTCCCTCTCTAGTTAGCGATGGTGCGATAGGAACCACCCTTTCCAGCTCCACTAGAGTACCAGCTGTAGAGGCGGCAACGGCGGCAGCAGCAGCATCACTTGAGCCTCCTCCCTCTTGGAGGATGGTGTGAGCTCAGAATCAGCCAGGAACTTGCAGCAGACACCTCCTCAGGCTCCTCCTTTCCTCCCCCACCCCCACAGCCCCACCCCTGCTGCGGTAGAGGCAGCCGGCCTGGCAGCTGCTGGTTGCCATGGCAATGGCCAATTGCAAGTGGCAAGCTAAGGGGGAGGGGAGAGGAGCGAATCAAGCTGCTGGGGCTGGAGTAAAACTCAGTCTCTGCCTCTGAGATGCTCTTGGTCTCGGCCAAGGTAAGCTTCAGGTAGTTTGAGAGGCGCCAAGGGTGAAAAGGCACCGGGAAAGAAGATATCAAGTTGAATCTAAGTGGAAATATACCAAACGGTTTCACATTTGTTTGTATCGTCTATAAATTTTAGATAAAATATATTACATTTCTATTGGAAAAAAATAAATGAGAAGATTATGTGGGGTGAGGGGAGACTGTTATCACGCCAAAGTTCTGCGTCCTTGGTAGCATCTTTTGCTCAATGCCATTCAAGGTTGCTAAAACAAAATCAAACTGCTGAGCTTTGCAATAAACCAGGTAATTGCTGCGTGACTTTAAGTGTGGTCCAGTTTGTTCTCGGGTCATTTGATTTTCACCATTTTTCCAACTTGTCGTCTGGAAAGGACCTGGCTTTAGTGTACTTCCCCCCCCACCCCGCCCCGGCCGTTCAGGAAAAGGAAGTTAGAGCAAAACAAACAGGAAATACCTTTGGACAAACGAGGTTCTCAGCAGCACTAGACAGTGGACAGGTCCACATCTACCTGGTTTCAGACTTCTGGAGCGAATATTATCAGCAAGTCAGCAAGCAATTCCTTGCTATTTTCATGGATGCCCTTTAGGAATCCCAAAGCCAGCTGGTAGTCTGGGTGGTAGGTGAGAGAAAAGCACGGGAATTTGCAGGTTGTGTATCTAACCATAAATTATAGATGGCACTAGAATTTGTCTCAGGCAGCGGTTGTTAAAGATTGATTGAGATAATGCACTAAAAGCCCTTGGCGTGTAGTAAGCATACAGTAAATATTTACTATTATTAGGGAGAGTTGTAGAGGGGTTTGCTGCAGACACCACTTAATCTAAAAGCTTTCAGAAAAGGTTTCAACAGTTCCAGGTAAGGGAGAAGATACTAAATATATGATAGCAGTGGTGGCTGATGATAGTGGTGGCGGTGGTGGCCAAGGATGACTGTCCTAACAGGTTCCATGTCCTCTTAAATTTGACAAATTAAAACACTGGAAATCTTGGAGAATGAAGCCAAATTTTTTAGATTGGTATACAAATAAAATAAATGACAACACTGTAATTAAACTAGGGTCGTCTAACATTTGAATTTGTTCTACTATCCATCTTTCTGCCATTCCTGCACAGAACAAAACTAATCTTTATGCTAGTTCATGCAAGTTCAAGTGAATTGACACAGACCGCAGAGATACTAGTAGTGCAGGCTCCGTTTCTACTATTTACTAAAACTATGTTTTAAGGCAAGTTTAACTTTTTTGAACCTATGTTCAGTTTTTCATTTATATATTGGATATGTTTACAAACCATCATGAGTCACTGTAAGAACTAAGTTGATGTATGTAAAGCATTAGTATGAGAGCCAATGCATAGTATCTCTGCGTTAAATATTGTTTATAGTTATTGCTACTTATTCATAGGCAATAAATTTGAACACATAAGAGGATTTTATTTTCCTGGATAGGCCTCTTGCCACAAACATGTTCTGATAACGCTGACTTAGAGGTGACCAGGTGTTCAAGAGAAGGGCACAGCTCATTGTTAGCATTTGCTATCTGAGTCCCCTCTGAGGAGAGCCTGTCTCCTGATTTGGGCAGATAGCAGCCCTGAGCTTCTGTGTGAGCCTCAACAGTCACACACAGTCTGCTGACATTTCCAAACCCCCACATATGAGTGCCATACCACAGGAGGGAATGGTTGTCCACACGTCACTTCTTTTTGTCTTCTTTGTATTTCATTTTCTTCTGTCCCCTCAAAGGTGGTCTCAAGAGAAAAGAGAGGAAGAAGCTGCTGGTATTAAAGCCAAGACTGTAGAAATGGCAGAGCCTGACCGTTTCCAGAGCATTTCACTGTACGTACCACGATCTGATCCTGACAAGGAAAGCCTGGGGAACTCTGACATCCTTGGGAAATGTTTGGTGTTTGAACAACTTTCCGACATAACCACTTTAAAACACCCTTGTCTTCTCCTCTGCCACACCATCCTTCTAGCTCTGTCTACACAGCATAATCATTGTGTTAGCAGTTTGCTTTAAACATTTTTAAATTCCTTCTGATTTGTTTCATCTATATCTACTAGTTTTTCTTTTTAATAAAATTTGTTTCTGACTTCAACAGAACATGGGAAAATCTTTAAAACCTAGAGGGGTTGGCCCCAGAGCCAACAAACTTATAAAAAGATACTCAGACTGGAGGGTTATTAGTTTAGACTAGCTGTAAGAACCAAACAACAACAAATTAAAGTTTCACTCCTCCTTGTTATTGCTTTAATTTGATATATTATAACATATATCAATGTGTTATAATTATAGTATAGCATGCTATAATAAATTGAAAAATATTATAAGGTTTAATATAGTTACTACAGTATACTCCATAATAGCACATTTAAGGTACCATGTAATTTTAATAATGTACTTCTGTCTTAGTTAGAGTTTTGATTATTGTGAAGAGATACTATGACCATGGCAACTCTTAGAAATGAAAACATCTAATTGGGCTAACTTACAGTTTAAGAAATTTGGTCCATTATCAGCATGAAGAGAGACTGAAATTGAGGGGGCCTGATTTGAACATCTGAAACCTCAAAGCCCACCCTGAGTGACACACACTTCTTCCAGTAAGGCCAAACCTACTCCACAAAGGCCACACCTCCTAATATTGCCACTCCCTGGAAGTCTGTTGGGGGACATTTTTCATTCAAACCACCAAGCCCGATGAAGTGAGTTTGATCTCTAGGACTATATGGTCAAAGGAAAGAACCAACTCCTATAACTACAAGTTGTCTTCTGGTCTCCTCATGTGCATCATAACATTGGCATAGCAAGGAAAACACAGACACACAACCACAATTCACATTACACAAAATAAACAGACAACTGTATAAGCAGCCATGTAACTAGAGAACTGGCTCGGTGGGTAACAGACTCGCTGAACAAGCATAAGGACTGAGCTCAGATTCCAGCACCTACATAAAAGCTGGATGTGACAGAACTCAACTATAATCCCAACATCAGCATCAGGGGGCAGAGATAGCCAGAGCATGGGAACTTGCTGTCTGCCAGCCTAGCTGAAATGGCAACCTCCAGGTCCAACAAGAGATCCTATCTCAAAAAATAAGATGGCTAGAAGAAGAGGATCCCTCAATATCAGCCTCTGACCCTCATATCCATGTGCACACCCACATATACTACATACAGAGAATACACACACACACACACACACACACACACACACACACAAATTGTCCTGAGCCAGAATAAAACAATCCAAACACAAATACATCTTAAAGAGACAACAAGAAGATAATGGCAGCAAAATCTTTGGCAGAAGGAGATAGGAGGTTGTTCACTGAGTGAAGTTCTTGTTGTATATATGTGAGATCCCCCATTTCATCCTCAGCAACCATACAAAAGCTGGAAAAGGTGCTTGTGTCTGTAACCCAAGAACAAGAGTTGTGGGTGTACGGAGACGGTCAGATTCCAAGACCTTACTTACCAACCAACATAGCTTTAACAGTTAATTCTGGCTTCATCAAAAGTCCTATCATCAAAAAAATAAGACATAGAAGTAATCAAGGAAAGACATGGTGAGGGCAAGTTTGAGTGCTCTACAGGTGACCAAAAGGACAGGTTCTATCCCCACCTTCGCAGAGGGGGACAGACATACACACAAACTCTGACATTAGCTTAAGTCATCATCTGTGACATCTTAAGAAATGTATTGATGAATGGTGGGTTTTATTTCATTTTATTTCTTCAAGTTCTCTCCCACTTTACTGTTAGCACCGAAATCAGGATAATGCTCACTTGTTTACTGATGTATTGATTTAGAAAGTGTTACTGCTAGCTGCTGCTGAGTATTGACACTGAGTCCCAGGATCTACCCACAAATCATAACAAGAACACTCCATGAAGCTTAACATCTAAAGATAATTATATGAGCAAGTTAAAAATGATGCTCAGAGCAGGGAACCCCACAAATGGATAAAGAAAGGATATAATCTACTTTGGGAGAGTAGGGGATGTATTATTGAAGAAAATTATGGGGTAGGATGGGAGCAGACTGTTTCAGAGACAGGAAAGGGTGTGTGTGTGTGTGTGTGTGTGTGTGTACAGATCCTTCAAGATAAAACATCACTTGCTAGTCAATCTTCATTTAACCTTTAATCATCCTGGTTCCCAACACATGTTTGTGCACCAATTACATTTTCCTGAAAGGTATCATCTCCTGCAACTCTCAACATACAAATAACATTTCTTCTGTCAATTTGTTTGGAAGATAATTATCGATATCGAAGGATCTGTGAATCTGTCAAGATAAAAAGGAAGAAAAGCAATCAAAGGATTAGTTTTTTACAACACAAAAAGAGACCTGAGGTCCGGGACAATGACAGCTGTCTCATTATAGATTTAAAGTGCATTTAACAATAAAAACCTTTGCTCTGATGTGAGAACAAGAAACAGGATTTCCTGTCAGGTTCTGGACAATTGTAGGAGAGTCAGTGGTAGATTATGACACTTGGGTTTAGAACACCAGCAAACCAGGAACTCTGTCTTAGTTGTGGTTTCTATTGCTGTGATAAAAGTCCATGACCATGGCAACTTGAAGAGGAGAGGCCTTATTTCTTATTATACCTTGCAGTCCATAAGCTAGAGAAGTCAAGGAATTCAAGGCAGAAACTGGTGCAGAAACCATGGAGGAATGCATGATTTCTGATCCATTATTCATGAATTGTCATCCATATTTCTTATATTATCCAAGACCATGACCCCAATGATGGCATAACCCCTAGTGAGATGGTCCCACCTATATCGATCATTAATCAAGAAAGTCCC